AAATGCATAAATCCACAGTCTATTTATAATGTTCTTTTATGTCTACTTTCCAGTCAATCCAACTACCAAGATAAAATATACGTTGAATATATTCCAGAATTATTATAATAAAATTGTCATTTCACTTTGCACAAGTGTACATACCTTTTTGGTATATTTAGCGTGTATTTATTATGTTAATTTATAACAAAAATGCATAAGATCCATAGTGTATTTATAATGTCCTTTTATGTCAAGACAAAATATATGTTGCATATATTTAAAAATTATTATAATAATATCGTCATATCAGTTTGCATAAGTGCGCACATCTTTTAGTTATATTTAACATATGGTTATTATATTAATTCATGCCATAAACGCATAAAATCCACACTACGTTCCTGAAGCCCTCAGACTTCTTCCTCAAGCCTCCCCCAATGAAACTCTTCTCAATCTTACCGCCATTATCATCATAAAAAAAGATCCTCGGGTAGTTTCTCGTGAACTATCAGTCTTCAGTCGTTCGCACAGGTCGGTGGACGTTTTCCATGCAAATCTAGCCGGGTCGAGGCGAAGAATTCCTCGCTAGCGTCAATTAAATCCTCCCGCCGTTCCCTCGAACCTGAATACCGTCTGCGATCGCGATTACGTCTGCCGCGATTTATTCCCCGGTTTCCGCGAATGTTAACCGGCTAGCTGACGTTAGAGTCCCCGTAGAACGCGTGACAATAACGCGGATAAAAGCTGCACGGCAGCCACGGCTCCCATGGTCCCGGCAAAGGGAAACAGCGTGCAACTGAAGTCACGAACGGACGACAAATAGGCTGAACGCACCCGCAACTTCCATTATCTTGCTACTCGAGAGACGTTTGCACCGAGAGCGGAATAATGCCGCGACGCGTGGGCGACGCGCAACGAACATAGATAATCGTAGACGAAACCCGATGTTAGACGCCGTTCTAAGCTCCGAGAACTAGTTTCTTTCTTGGATCCGTGTTTCGAGCGGGTTCGAGTCATTTTGGGGAGGGTGGAAAAATAGTGGAAAGTTAGTGGAAAGTTTGTCGTCTGGTATTTTGCAGTGGAGACGATCTTTATGGAGCTGACAAAGCTTGAGGAGGCAACAAAAAGTGTTTGAGGGTTGAATGACAGAGATGGGAAGTTTGGTGGTGAAATAAGATTGTGTACGAATTGCAGGGTTATTGCCAAAACAATTATTGTCAAAGCAATTAGTGTCAAAGCATAGATTTGTTGAGAAGATGGCAATATAGGCAGGCTTTGTTTCAAGCGCGATTAGTCGTTTAAATAAACTCCTATTTTGAAAAATTCTGTGAAAATTTGGCACAGAGGAAAGGTAGCCACCAAGTAACTATAAAAAATGACTCAGTAGTCCAAATGTAAGTAAAAGCTGAAAGACCGGACGTCAATCTAACACTAAATTTCGTTCTGGCTCGGAGAGTCTTAGCAACCCATGCATCGAAGTCTCCAGCCCCGCGTCTGTACTATCCAGCTTCCTAGAGTGACAAAAGCCGCTCGATAATCAACTAGTCAAGAAATTGAAGCCATTAAAGAGCCCCAAGAGGCTCACACATCGCAAACATTCAATTTTAGAGATTTAAACAATAAATAAAAACAATTTATCAAAATATCTCGAACGTCTCGCTTTTCATGCGTCCTCTTAAACTCGAGCCTCAAACCCTGCCTTAATCGCTAGGTAATCGAGCACTCCGACTGAGTGATACTTAGTCAGATGTATTAAGTGATTAAAGTACCTTTCGCGCGAGACAGATAGAAGGAAATACTCTTCGACGATCGGTAATGCGATACTAATGATACTCTAATTATTCGAATTGCGATAGTCTTGAAGATAGAAATTGCGCGTTCGAGATTCTCCAAACTATGGTCGCGAAGCGACATGCCCGTAATCTCCTGTGGGGGATAATAATGGCAATTACAGCTGGTAATAAAGCTATAATTACGATTGCATGAAAGTGCATTCCTGCGGGGACCTACCGCAATGCAGAAGGGTGCAACGCAGTCTTTCCTTCGTTTAGGACTGCGGTGCACGTGTGTGGTGGATGATACTGATTGATTTTCGATATTCTCTTTAGACTTGTTTAGCGGTGATTCGTGTCGTATTATCGGTAAAGTACTAGTTATTATTTAGTTGAAGTGATGATTGATACTTTATATAACATTTAGAGACTTTATTATAGAAACTTTCCATGCATATTGTTATCCCTGCTGAGTGTGTAACCTCGAATTTGTTATAATATTCATTCAATATTTATTTATCTCCCTATTATAGCCATTATGTTATCGAAATTAATTTTCATTCCATTGCCAGTGACATCAAATAAGTCTATTATTCCAGAAATGGCCTTTGAAATTACTAATTTTTCACTAACAACTTGAGCCTTTCTATTTGTCAAACGTATCTAATACTCATATAATTTCTAAACTAAATCGAATCGGAAGCTGTCTAATGCAGCTAAATTAAAAAAAAAAGCTCTCGTTCGTTTCAAAGTGCTCTATTGAAATCATCGTTCAAGGTTTCAGTGGAAGTGCACGATTTGCAAATGGAACAGATAAAGATTTCAGGCAACGAAAGGCTCGCGTTGCACGATCACGAGCAGTAGACACTGCTGTTTATCGATATCGCAATCTTCACGCGGGGATCCATCAAGCGTGCACCGACACACACACGCACGACCGCGATCAGATGAATGCTTAATCGATGCAGGCTAATCGATTTAACGAAATCATTAAGCAACCGTTCAGCCGTGATTCATCAGCGCGCGTGAGATTAGCGACAGGCAGTTTGGAGTATTTTAAATTTTTGGAGGATTCTGGAGGGCCATCTCGAGATCGCTATCATCTTGAACGTTTTCCTTATGAATATCGATAATACTAAAATATTAAACAGTGTGCAATAATGAATACAATAATGAATAAAATATTAACAGTATTGTTTACTGTATTGAAGGATTAATTAAAATGGTGATCGAATATTTAGTTATACTACAGAAACAAGCTGCAAGTATTAATCTAATGTAAATATCCCAGCATGCTCCTATCTAAAAAAGAAAAGAATAAAAGTGTGCAGCAATAAAAATTTATTTAAAAATTAATTAAATATAATATTTAGTTATACTACAAAAACGAGAATCACCTATTAACCTAACTTAAATATCCTAGCACATTTCCATTTAAAAATATCGAATATCTGCTGTAGCAATAAAAATTTATTTAAAAATTCCATAAAATTTAATTCAAGTAGAATCTTGTATCCTATAGTTACGAAAGGATAACGTGGACACCCTTTACGCGTAAAAAACGCGAGGAAAATCGATCGAACGTCAAAAGATTGGACAGCTGTGCATGAAAGGCGCGAAGGACATCAAGATGAATCGTGGAACGCAGAGCCGTCAGAACGTATCGATTTCTCTCAAAGTGTCAACTGCGCATTCAATTAGACGGGTATAATCGTTGCCTCGATTCCACCAGGATACTTACAGCCATATCGAGAACAGTTGTGCTTTGTTTTTGCTCGATCCAAACTGGCTCCGTATGTGGCGCCAGACAAAGACATTTTTGTCCTCTACTTTTCCATTTCGTCCACGCTTCGAGGTTTAAATAGAGTGTAAAAATTCCAATTCCTTAGAGACTAGACATTCTGAACCGTGAACCAGTTTACATGATTACGTGATAAGTATATTTAGGTTCGCTCACTTGATTAGGAGATGGAGCTAGTATGATAGTTATAGTTTAAGAAAGAAAGATGTGGAAAGAAATTATTTAGGATTTTAATGTTTCTAGTCGAGGGTTTCTAGTGATACAAGACTTTCAAAAGCGTGAAGATATTAAAAAGAAGTGAGTCCGATGAGTTTCAAAGCTTTATAGATTTTTGAATCGTTCAAGGCAATCGAAAGAATCGAGTCTTTCATGACTTTCAAACTTTTCTTGACTGCCAAGGCTTTCGAGATTTCTAAGACCTCCTAGACATTCAAAATAAATAAACCTTTTATGTCTTCCAAGAATTTCAAGTCTATCGCTACTTTTAATTATTTCCAATCATCTCTTCTTCAAATTTCTCAAATTTGCACATCTTCGACATTTTTCAAAACCTATAAAACAATCAGAGGATCAATTCTTTCACAGGACTGAAAAATTTCTATAAATTACGATATATATCTCTTTATTAAGTCACACTGTTACCCTCTCCTGTCTTTTTTCTACCTCTATTATCTCGTAACGAGCCATAATCTGCCTCAGCTGGGAGAATCACCATTAGAAAAATGAACGAACGCCGCACTGTACAATGTAACCATTGTCGACACATTTTTCCATTTATCCATTTAATCTCGGGAAAGTGGACTCCCGCTCCGTGGATTTCGCTCGATCAATTTAAACGCACGTTCCTCCGCCTCGGGAATGATTAATAGTTTACGTCCGTGACGCGACGGAAGTCACTTTTCAGACAGATCGAGCAGAACGCCGGTTTGCGTGGATGACTTCATTTCAGGCTGACGATGATCCAGATTTTCCGGATAGATTCATTCAGAAATCCTTCGATTACCGACTCACCAAGTCCCTATAGTTACGGTGCCATCATCGACTCTAATCTGATGATGATACTTCCTGTCCCAGAAATGAGAATGTTACATTCAATTTATTACAAATTCTAGAATTGAATTTTACTTTTTATTTTTAATCCTATTTATTTAGTATTTTATACAAACTACTATATACTTATACTTTCTTTATTTTATTATACATTTATTTTCAAACACAAAATGACATCCTTTGACGTCATCAAATCTCTATCCTTCGATTCCATGTATACTCCCACGATTATTTGTTAATTTATTCAGTCTGGAGAATCAGAAAGATCGGAGTCTCATAGTGGTACCTGTGACTCGCTTGCATTATTTTTAATATATTATTAAAAACACCTATATTGGAGATTTTCTGTTTTAGATGACACTAATCGAACCGTGTATTACTTTCTTTCTGCGCAGATGACGACACCCCAACTCCTATTTCAGACGACACGTCTGGCAATGAAGTTTACGTTGGCGGTAGATCTCGCGAGCGCAGATCATTGACTGAAAAAACGGCCCTGGATCATTCCCAAAGCGACGAGGAATACGAGCAGTTCAGGGAACAGAGGGAACGACATCAGCATTTCTTGCAAAACGACAACAGATACGAGAGGTGATAGTAATCTTCCAGCCTACAAAAATATTTTCTAAAATGTTCGCTCTTCGAGATCTTATCGAGATCGTTAATAATGCTCAAGGCTCGAAACCACCTTAAATTATACTTGTTAAAATTCTATACACACTTTTATTATTTGGAACTAAAGCATAGCTTGTCCAATTTTTATTTAAACACTCTAGAAAATAATAAGGTAATCAGCTGTTTAAGACTTCCAAAGCTTTTAGATTATTTAAAGAAAAATCAGGAAGCTTTTTAAGAGGGAGAGGTATATTAAGAATCGTAGTTTTATTAAATTCTACAATCTCTAAAATTTCAGAATATACAAAGGAAAAGCAGAAAGATTTTTAATAGGAAAGGTGTATTAAAAATCTCAATTCTATTAATCTCTAACAATTAACTCTAGTAACAGCCAGTCCTCTACCATGTGACTATAAAATTCCTGTAACATTCTACAGAAATTCTTATTAACATTTTAGTACAAAAATTACCCAAACTACCATTCAAACTGTATACTTTCAATCCACCCATCAAGCACTCACAACAGCCATTCTTTATCGCCTCAAAAAAAAAACAACAATTCCCAAATATCAGGATCCTTTCGGGCTGAAAGGTGTTCCTGGTTAAAAGTAAGAATAAATCAGGTGGTCTTGCGCTCGCGAACGGCATTGTTCCGAAAAGGGCAGTGGCGAGCGTGTAGGCATGAAACGAGAGGATCATAATTCACGAGTGTCAAAGACTAAGAGCGGCCTGTTTAAAAATTGCAGATACTACTCCGTGGACCGCAGACGAAATGACGTCAGCGAGGAGTACACCCAGGACTCGAAAATGGAATCGGATCCCTTCGTGACCTGGAGACCACGTCGAGCCTTGCCACGTGAATATTTCATAGAGATCATGGTGGTGGCCGATGACAAAATGGAGAAGTACCACGGCAAAGCTTTATTCAGCTACATCTTGGTCCTGATGAGCATGGTAAGGTTCATGAATTCATTGAGACCCAAATTTGAATTTCCTTATCCATTCGTAGACACTTTAAGCTGCACATGCTCTGCGAGCATTAGCTTCCTCGTCGATTAGGTTAGCAAGAGATTATAGAAAGCCTGTTTTAAATGGAAATAAAAGAAAGTGGTAGAGGAAAGAAAAATATGAGCTGTAGGGTAGAATATTTCAAGTGAAATTTTTGGACAAGCATGTCCGATCCATGTAAGAACTGAATTCTTGACACAGAGTACGAAGTATTTTCTAAATCCCTTGAAAGACTCTTGGAATTTGCCTATTTAAATGAAAATTGCTAAGAACGTTTCAAGAATTCAGAGGACCTTTGATAAGGCAAAGGTAAAGCGTGCCACTCGCAACACACCCAGTATAGAAGCATGGTATTTATTACACAGCATAGGTCCGGCATTCGTTAAGCAAAAACAAAAGAAAAAAGGACAAAGCTCGACGATCCGTGTGGGTGTATCACTTTGTCCGAGCATGGTTTCGGTGAATGAAAAGAGAAGATCGTAGATACGAAGCGAGCAGGATTAAAAGAACTGAGGATCCTCGAAACAGCGGCGTCTGTGTTCGTAGGATGATCGATCTTGTAATGCCAGCGGGATCTGTCGCGAGCATTAAATATTATGCAAATTCGCCTTCTCGCGTTCCTAGTTAATTTCGGATATCGAAAATGTAGTAGAGGCTTCGCGAGTCGTCTCCCGCGGCGACTACCTGCGGCACTGATTTAATTACTGCCAAAAAATCATCCCTGCGAAGTACAGTTCTTTCGGTTATCTGATAATAAATAGAAAGCAACGTTGCGTGATTTAGTGGTGATCAATTCTTTAGGCACTGTTTTATTTTTGGCAATATCGAATGTGATTTGATTTATGCTGTGTCCAACACGAGTGGGGGGAATTGTACTTGTGTCGCTGTAGGGTTGTTGTGTGTTTGTTTTGGACGGTTTGTGAATCAATAATCCAAACTCTGCAGGTTCACTTGTTTGGTCGTTTTATTCAATCTTGAGAAGACATTTGGTGTGATGTTGTTATTGGAGTGGCTGATGATTGATAACTGACGATGTTTGACGATATTTGACGATGCTTGACGACGTTTGGACACGATTAACAGAGTTTGATGGCGTTTGAGCACGATTGACGATGAATGTCAAGTCTTGGTCACGATTAACAGAGCTTGGTGGTGCTTATGCATGATTGGTGAGGACTGACAATCTTTCACGACACTTGATGACACCGAAGAACATTGTTTGACCACTATTGACGATACTTGGCGACGATTGGTTATCTTTGATGATGTTTGTCGATGATTGACGACGACTATCAGTCTGTCAACATATATGTTTGACAATACTTGGGCACAATTGACGATGAGTGACAACGCTTGGCCACGATTGACAATGATCAACGGGGTTTGACGATATTTCTCCATATATCGAGCAACGTTTTCTCTCAGATATCAATTCCCTTCTCCCCAAAATAGTAATTAAACCTGACTCCAAAAGACCTCAAATCCATCCGGATCCCCCAAGAATAGTTTCCTTTCGTTTTCGGCGCGAAAGTCGTTAATCATTTCTAATTAGCGCCGTATATATCCAAATTTTACGGTCTAAATTTCAGCAGCCCGCAGAGATTAAAGAGGCCCGCGTTGACATAATGGACGTCCCCAAGGAATATAATCTGTCGACAGCGCGTTTCCTTCGCAGCCCTCGCCTAAGATAACCACCGCGCGGATTCCGTCGCGGGCATTTAGAAACAGTATATTCCGAGATCATAAATTTCAGCGGCGACTGCTCCTGCGTAGCCGCCAGCGGCGCACAATTCATCGTCGAAAGAATAGAAAGTACAACTTGCACCTTGAGGATTATAAATCGTGCCGCGCCGATACGATCTCATGCTACCTAACTACCTTTAACGCGACGTTGACATTTCAGTGCTCGAATTCAATTCCACGGGGATCGTGGATCATAAAGTCCCGCGAAACGAAATAGAACCGAGGCCCCAATTGCGGAATTAACGCTTATGGTCGCCTAACGGCGCGGCGTAGGTTGCTGCCAGACGCATTGTTGTCGGAATCTCCGCCGTTGTAAATTACAGGCGACAAAAGATTGACCAACTTTCCGTGTAACAGTTCCGCAGAGTCGGGGCGAGACGATTGTAGTAGGTTTCGAGCGACACACCCTCGCGATTCGCGAGCTGGGAGGTTAATGGCTGGTACAGGCGGATAATTGGACTGGTTTGGTGTGGTCTGGGTTAAGTTTGTACAAAAGGAGATGAAAGTTGAGAAGTTTGGTGAGAGGGACGTGAGCATGTGCACTGTTAACACGTTGACTGTCAGAAAAATTTGAAAAATTCTACTGTGATCAAATTTTGTTTAGAGACTATTGGAAACTATGTATTAGGTGTACCGGAAAGTTCTGTCTGTTTTTAGAATAAAACCAAATAATAAATTTCTCATAGCTTGAATAAATTTGATTGAATAATATAATTTTTATCATTATTTATGACATCTTGCCAGCGTGATTGCAATTTGTATATCATTTTTGACGAATATGCGCATACTCGTTGAAACTTGTTGCAACCGTAATGAACAGAACTTTCCGGTAGACCTAATACATAATCAAACATTTACTATGATATTTATTTCTGTATCGTCATAGAAATTCTAGTATTCCAAAAATATGAGTTTTATGTAATTTTATGTATAATTTATTATACAGAGTACGCCTGACTAGTGCTGATCAAATTGAGGCAAACATGGACAAAGAGATAGAATAAAATTATTATAGAAAAATGTAATAAGAAATTCAGTCTGAAATGTGCACATTTGCATTTAATATCTAGCCAGAGGAATGTAAACACACTTAGGTGCAGTAAACATTTTTGGTTTCAAATGGCCTGTCAAACTTGTTGATGCTGTTTCTAGGTCACCAAGAGCTAATCCTTGAATATTTGCTGACATATTTAAATTCCAGCATCTTATTAACACCCTACATCCCTTATCTCGTGGAATTATAATCACTACATCCCCAGAATTATCTCAGCTTTATCCAATCTCTTCTATATCTCATTTTCTGCACCAACTACACAAGAAACAAAGACACCTCGAGACATTTTCAGTTCAGAGTGATCTACCACGTCGCAAATGTCGTCTATATTACAAGTGATAGACCCTCTACATACTTTAATACATATGAATTCCTTCGTTCTACCGTCGTCCTACATTTTCACGCATTCCAACCGATCAAATTAGACCCAGCTCCTCCGGACACTTTTGATCCCGACGCTCGAGAATCACGCGAATCTAGCGTACTCCCCCAGCGAAACGGATTACCTTTCCGTCGTCTATTTTCCTGGGTCTGCTAGGCGCCGCTTGCAGAACCAGACGTGGCATAAATTACAGCTCACGTTTCGCTGGTGGGAAAAGTGTACCGGGTGGTGCTCGAAGCCCCCATTTAGCGGGACACGTCCCACGTGCTCGCGAAACGTTACGCTCTGTTTCGAGATTCTGGACGATCGTTATGTAATCGATCATCCAACAATGTACGGGAACACGGTGTATCGATCCCCGGAGCCGTGTAAAGCGATGTTCGATTCGAATGCAAATTCCAATTTCTGTTGCGAGCTGATCGAATGCAAATGAGCTGGGTTGGTCGTGTTTCGCGGGATTTGCGCGTTAGCAGGAATTGAAATAGCCAACGGACCGTTAATCGCCCATGCGACACTATCTGGGCTGCGCGATCGATCCAGTATCTGTGATCGAGTTTCAGACATTGATATGTTTGCAAAGACGGGAATTTTAATTTGATCGGAGAGATTTATTCCTGTGTTTGTGCATGGGGTTGATGACCATTGAGGTTTAACGGTGCTTGCTGAAGGGTTCTTGATTTATTATGAAAGTTTCAAGAGAGAGGGGGTAAATAATTGTAAATTAAAATTAAAGATATGACGTCAGCAACTCTCAGCAAAACTATAGGATAAATTGTATGTGAGATAGATATTTGATAAAACTAATATTCTATTTAATATATAGTAAAGCTTTCTGCAGGAGGTCTCAGAAAAAAATAATCCACATAAATTAGGAGTTTAAGATGGTCAATAACTCTCAGCAAAATTATATTATAAATTCTATGTAAGCTATACACTTGATAAAAACAATATTCCATTTATTACATAGTGAAGCTTTCTACAGGAGATCTGAGAAAAAAATAATCTTCAGAAATTAAGGGTTTAAGATTGTCAATAACTCTCAGCAAAATTATATTATAAATTCTATGTAAGCTATACACTTGATAAAAATAATATTCCATTTATTATATAGTGAAGCTTTCTACAGGAGATCTGAGAAAAAAATAATCCTCGGAAATAAGGGCTTTAAGATGGTATCAAGAAATGGTATCATCATACATTATTAATGTACATAATGCAATCAGAGGCTATCTTTAATATCGTATGATCTCCAATAAATCCCCAAAAGTTAATAATTCTCGAGAGCTCCCTGATTGGTTGTTTTGGCCTGCGAAATGAAGCATAAAAATAAAGAATAATTGGTCTAGATTCCACCCTCGTCGAAATCTGGGCCAGTTAAAGACGGAAGAGTTAAAGACGGCAAGGAAATCCGATCGTCCCCAGATAAATGAATGATTCATGTAATTTGACGGTTAGCCTCGTCATTGTCAACCAGGTCATTACCATCCAGTCGGTTGCACATCCCACGCGAATCGGACCACACCTCAGAAGAGGGCAACATCCCACGGAGCGTCCGGGACTCACTTTCACGTGCCCACGCCCGTCATTCATCCGACGATTCAATCAGCTTTCCTGGCTATCGATCATCCTTTGATATTCATGACATTTTTACGTATCGATGAAATCTAATTTGACGTCGCGTCGAGCGCTATTTGATAAGTTGACTGGCCGTCGTACAAGACGTCTTTCTGAGAGATATCCAGGCTCTTTTCTGGTCACCTGTGTAAT